ATAAAAAGAAATGAAAAGATTTAAAAAAGATGATAAAACAACAATGTTTGAAAATAGGAAAAATGATGCACAGTTTTCTTCAGCAAACTGGAAAACTTTTCAAGACTGTAATATTCTAAAATAATTAGTTTAAATAAATTAAGCATTGTATAAATTTAAAAAATCAAACCCTTAACAATAATAAGAGAAAACGTCAAATTTATTTGGGTTGTTTTAAAAACTCTTTGTAAGAATAGAAAATTTTAAAATATTGTTAAAGAAGGCTGAATAAATCGCTCGTAAAAACATTTCAAACTAGTTTTATAGATTGAAATAGTAATTCATAGAAGTGGTTGGGTATTCCTTGATAGGGAATGACATATTTAGGAGAATTTGGTTAAATAATCTTTCTGAAWTTTTTTTAGCCGAGACTTTTGTTTTTGTTAAATAATCACCCCACGTAGAGAACGCATTGGATCCCAACTGAGTGCAATTTTTAATATTGAATAACAATCAAGATTCAAAACAAATCTTTTTTGACAAAGGAAACTTCTCACCCATCACGGCCAAATATTTCGTTAAAAAACATTAAACAAAGGATTAAAAAGCATATCTCTGAAAATTTTGATCCCAAAAACATCATTAGAAAATCCTTATCGAAAGCTCACGAGTAACCTACTTTCTTATCACTCTGTTTAAAGTTATTCAAAATTAATCAGTAGAAATCAATAGTTGTAACCTAAAACTGCTTAAAACTATGCGAAGAATGATAAGAATCTGTTGATGATACGTAGTTATTTATGTCTGACAGCTGTTGAAGTTAAATACCTCCAAGAGCTTTCTATTAACCAGGAGTGATTTAACCTTTATGTAGGTCATAAGAAAACTTGATTTTAAAGCTATATTTCCTAACCAAAGTACATATCATAAATCGCAGTTCTAGATTCTAAAAATTTACAGTTCTTCATATTCTGTTTTTTTAATAAACTAAGCTTACTAATGACACTAGAATAGAATAATAATGATAGGATTCTAGTTTAAATTTTAAGTATAAGTTAGGGGTCAAGTTATTAATTACTTTATTTTCTTATTGATTTTAGATTTATATCTATCACTAGCATGACAAAGCCTTTCTATGCTTACAAATAAGTCAGTTTTATCAGTTGAATAATTGTGGGGTTTTTATACTTTGAAACTGTTTTTCAACAGATTTTTTTTTTTTTTTTTTTTAAATGTTAGATTTTTTCCTTCAACGAGGTCAAGTTATTTATAATGATATGGCATCCGAGGTCCTCGTCATCTCAAGTGTCGTCTGCATAGCCGCATTGCCAAGCTGTCTTGTTTTATTTGTCGTGGCTATACCTCTATGAAGAATGATAAGTTATTTTTGGTTGGGATTGATTTCAACGATAAAGTTTCGATAATGAAATTCAGAGATTTTTTGATAACGTTTTAATATTATAGTATTTTGTTTGTCGTGTTAAAACTCTAAGTGCTAAGAATAGCCTTTGTTTTGTGATTTTTGGAAATTCTTACTGAGTTAGATCTAGACTTGAACACAAATGAGAAAATTGAATGAGTGGGAAAAAGCAAGGAAAAATGGGAAGTAGAGACGTAGGCAAGAAAGGCAGCAAAAAAGAAAGAAAGAAAAAGTAAAAAGGAAGGAAGCAAGAAAGGGAAGCAATGAAGGGAGCAGAGAAAGGAAGGAAGGAAGGAAGGAAG